TCATAAAGCCCATGCAGGTAAAGTTTGTCTCCAAAACAAGTGACCCATCAAAGAAATTTGGATTGTCACAAGGCATCCAATGAAAAGATGGACCGACCAGCTGGTGCAAAACTTAATTTTGGGTTAATTACTTATTGATAATTATAATCCACAAATTCACTCGTATATCAACTTTTCAAAAATTTGACACGAATGTGTACACGTATAAAATATAATCAAACACGACCAATTTGTAAAGATCCATGACACGCATCAAAATGGATGAATGAAGTACTCAGACTAGTTTAGACTCTAACGATGTCCCTTTTAAGACAAATAACACTACTTCCTCATGCCTCGTAAACCTTAACAAGTAGTCAGTTGACATTTAGTTGATCTCGTCATGTAAATAATTACGACGACAACAAATTGAGTCTCGTTTTTTGTGGTGATTCAATAGGGTATGGAAACTTAAGGCAAGGAGTCAAAGGGGACAAATAATTCAGGGGGTTGTTTTTGGTCCCAAGTGAATGGAAAGCGTGACATAAAGAGAGGTAGTTGTGTGTCTCCTAATCCCATGTATATGTCGTTATGCACCCAAACAAACCTTTTGAGTGTGTTTTTACAATCATATTTATCAACTTTAGTCTAAAATTATATTTTTAGCCTCCGTTTGTTTCTCATTTTTTATCCATAAAAATGAAAAATATGACCGTTATCCATCACATCAAACTATCAATTTTGAATTTATATCTCTTGTGTGGGGCCCAATAACGACTATATTTTTCATTCTCATTCTATAATAATGAGAATCAAACGACTCTATTAAAGTACGAAAATTTGAATGCTCGACATACTCATATTGAACTGAATAAATAAGCTCGACAGTCCAACAATTTGAAGTGCAACCTAATTAAAAAAAAAAACCCCCCGATTTCACTAGATATTTAACAACGATATCAATAGCGAAAGATGACTATGTTCCCAAAGGTACATAATCTAACAACCCCTAAAGTGGGGTTTCTGAATAATTCTCGAATGTTGCCATTAAGCGGGCGTTTGTAGAGATTAAAATTAGATTTTTAGTAGATTATGATAGAAGTTTTTGAAATGTGTGATTGAAAAATTGTAGGACCCATGAAAGATGTGATATTAATTGTTTGACTTTCACTTAAATTAAAATCTGATTTTAATTCGAAACAAACATGGCCTAAAGAAATCCATATAAATTATATTTTCAAGAACTTGAGGCTTCATAAATTGCCCCATGTGACTAAAAAGAAAAAATTAAAAAAAAAAAATCTTTTTTTCTATTTCATAAAGCAACCACGCCCGTTTGGCTGCAATCATGTGGTCTACTTTCTCATAATTTCTCATCTTTCATTCTTCTATTCTTTTTAAATCCTTTGTCTCCCTCTAACAGCCTTATTTCTTGTCAAAAGTACATATGCTTGTAATAACCTGGCGTGATATTCTATTTCTTTATCACTTTTAATTTATGCATTTGGCCCCATGTCAAAATTTTGATACCTTACCCCAGTTATTGGAGTACTTATAACATAGTGTCACCTTTTCTAGTCCACTCAGTTGGTTTCGACACAAGCTCTAATTAGTTTATCAAAAAACGCGACCAAATATTTGATGGGACCGACGGAGAAATGGATTCGAATGTAAATTTGTACATGTCATGCTTTCCGAAGAAAAACAACCAACGAAAGTTTTCTATACTTCTTTGCTATTCGTACAAGCTTGACAAAGTCAAGTTGTTTGAACATTCTTGCGTCATTTGGCGACTCAGTGCATGAATGTCACAAGTTCAATGGCATATGCTTCGACCGATTTCGAAAGTTGCAGTCTTTGATCAAATTATCGTGAGCATAATGTAATTACAAGTCAAAATTAGCTTCATTTAAGTAAACTGAACTACATTAAGGGTGTGTTCGGTTCGGATTTCAATTGGATTAAAATTGAAAATATAGTCGTTATTAGATCTCACTCGTCTAATAAAAGTCAACAAGAACGACTAGTTTTTCAATTTTAATCCAATTTTAATCTCTACCAAACACACTTTAGATAGTCTAGATAGACGGTAAATAAGAGTTAACAAGTTTAAGACGTCAAGAGAATGAAATAAATAAAAAACAAAAAATAATTAATTAGTATTACACATTGGTCTTGGAATTAGAGAATCCGCACGTGTGGACAAGCCTTCACGCTTGTATAATTATTGTTTAAAAAAATAAGCAAGCAATTATGTTTAATTAATTAAAAAACAAAAGATGTAATCGGGGAACAAAATATAAGCACGAAAATCAAACCGGTATTCACAAATATCCAAGCCCTTTCCAAATTCATTCTCCTCTATAACTACACCTTTCAACCACTGACCCCACCCTACCCCACCCTGCATATCCCTCTCTATATAAATATATAGATAATAGACCCACTTCCCAGAAACTACAACAAAATCCCAGTTTCATTTATTCCTAAAGTTCATGTTCCATTGATTTTCTATTGAACTGAACCCTGTTTACAAAATGACATCCTCAGAAAAGGTAGTAGAGACTGTGATAGCAGGAAATTATGCAGAAATGGAAACTGAAGGGAAGTCTAAAGATATTAAGTCTAAAGTCTCCAACTTCTTTTGGCATGGTGGCTCTGTTTATGATGCCTGGTTTAGCTGTGCTTCAAATCAGGTAAGTCCTATACACTTAAACCCATCTTTCATGTCACTCAAATGATGGCGGTCGAACGCCATAAAGGATTTAGCGTGCGCTCACTGGACGTCTATTGGCTCTAAGTTATTCTTATACATTTTCAGGTGGCTCAAGTGCTGCTCACTTTACCATACTCATTTTCTCAGCTGGGAATGATGTCTGGGATTCTTTTTCAGCTCTTCTATGGCTTAATGGGCAGTTGGACTGCATATATTATTAGTGTTCTCTATGTAGAGTACAGAACTAGAAAAGAAAGGGAAAAAGTTGATTTCAGAAATCATGTTATTCAGGTTTTCATTTTTTTTCTCAGTTCTTATGTTGTTAGTATATTGTTTCGATCCGGTCTAATACTGCGTACCAAATATGATGAAACAGTGGTTTGAAGTTCTTGACGGGCTTCTTGGAAAACACTGGAGGAATGTAGGATTGGCATTTAATTGCACTTTTCTTCTGTTTGGATCTGTGATTCAACTCATAGCTTGTGCAAGGTATATATATACTTTTGTTAATTTAGTTAATGTCTAAATGAGGCAAAAAAAAAAAAAAAGTAACATTTTCTTTGTGATGCAGTAACATATATTACATAAATGACAATCTGGACAAGAGAACTTGGACTTACATCTTTGGTGCATGTTGTGCAACCACTGTATTCATCCCTTCTTTCCACAACTATCGGATTTGGTCATTCCTCGGCTTGGTAATGACCACGTACACGGCCTGGTACCTCACTGTTGCGTCCCTCCTACACGGGCAGGTAACATATTGCTCTGTCATTCGGTCTATTTCCGTTAGTAAGTTAATCGAGATTATGGATTTTTTTTTAAAATTAATGATAGGTGGAGGGTGTGATGCACTCGGGACCAACCAAGTTGGTGCTATATTTCACAGGAGCCACAAACATTCTCTACACATTTGGGGGACATGCCGTTACTGTGTAAGACATCCTCAGATATTATATTTGTGTCTTTTACCCCAAATTCTACTCAATTGGACACAAGTTTGGGGAGTAGTTTGATAAAAATGTCGTTTACAAACGAAAGGGACTTAACCTTGACTAACCTCGACATAAATCTGACTATTTCCAGTATTTATTAAGTGATCAGTCTTTATCCTATCCAAAAAAGTCGATATTTTTCCAACAGTGCCAAGAAAATAAGTCACACTTTCTTGTAAACCCTTTTCTTCCTTTTTAGGTATTGAAAAGACTACTCTTTTTCCAATCAGTCTGCAATTTTTCTTTATGTAATGAGGAAAATAGTGAAGAGGGCCCCATTTTTTCAATAATTATTTTTGGTGACACCCTAATCTCTTTTCAAAATGACACTTCAAGCCTAGGATAAACTGACTTAAAGAAGAGTCTCGCTCTTGACTAACCTTATAACCAATGGAAGAAAAAATTATCATAGCACTGATTGTTAAACAGATTAATTTGAACAGGGTGTCGATGAAGAATTAATTGGGGGTTTTAAATTTTGGTTGTGTTGGACAGGGAGATAATGCACGCAATGTGGAAGCCTCAAAAGTTCAAGGCCATTTACTTACTGGCGACTCTTTATGTGCTGACATTGACGCTTCCATCTGCAGCAGCAGTGTACTGGGCATTTGGAGATATGCTTCTAAATCACTCCAATGCATTTTCTCTTCTCCCAAGATCACCCTTCAGGGACATGGCTGTTGTTTTGATGCTCATCCATCAGGCATGCCTAAGAAATTTAATTCTCGACTGTTACATTGTTAGAAGAGTAAATTGGTCGTGTAGCCGTGCCACGGCTTTTACTTTTCTTTAGTAAATATATAGACTTGCACGAGCCGGTTCTTGGCACGGTCCGACACAGTTTGACACCCAAAATCGTAACTATCTACTGCAAAATGTTCATGCTGATTAATGAAGTTTCTAATTTTGATTTATGCAGTTTATAACTTTTGGATTTGCATGCACACCGTTGTATTTTGTGTGGGAAAAGGCAATAGGGATGCACGAGTGTAAGAGTTTGTGCAAGCGGGCAGCTGCAAGGTTGCCGGTAGTTATACCCATATGGTTCTTGGCTATTGTTTTTCCATTCTTCGGCCCCATCAACTCCACTGTCGGATCACTTCTCGTTAGCTTCACTGTCTACATTATCCCGGCTTTGGCTCACATTTTCACCTTCCGATCTGCATCTGCCAGAGAGGTATGTCCAAGTCATTACTCGATAATATGTTTGTTGCACAATATTAAAAAAAATTATTTTTTTCTTAGTTGATGGTCAATCGGAAGCCTCCAACAGTACGTTTTGTTGGGGATTCGGGCAGGAGGGCAGAAATCCTCTACACCGTTGCTTTACATGAATATAGTACATGATCTTATACATGATGCACAAGGACGAGATTCCCACTACATAATACTATATAGGAGATTCTTTTGTCTAATTAGAGTACTCCAAAAATCATTCAATAAATGATTTTCATGCTTTACATTTTTTGATATGTTTAAGAATGAAATGAAGAGAATAATAATGACAACGATATATTTGTTATGTGCACACGATTATGCAATATACTAACCATTTGATTGAATGTGTTGGTGCAGAATGCAGTGAATCAACCATCCAAGTACGTTGGGAGATGGGTCGGGACTTGTATTATCAACATCTTTATTGTTGTGTGGGTGTTAATCGTCGGGTTTGGATTTGGCGGATGGGCGAGCATGATAAACTTCGTACACCAGATCGACACATTTGGACTTTTCACCAAGTGCTACCAATGCCCTCCTCAGTTGCCACCATCATCTTCGCCACCCAACTTCTTCAATGCCACGGCTCCTCTGCCACCTCCCACAGCCAATCTCACACATCCCCACCGCCCTTGACCTTTTTTTAAAAAAAATCATTTTTGTTGCCCCTCTTGAGTTCAATTTAGTTAAATGTAAGAAATGGGGTAGGTTGCATATGAATCATCTGGAGACCTTTTCTTAAAAGTAATGTAATAATATTCTTTTATTTTCATTAATCCCCCATCACCCCCATTGGCGGAAGGGGGTGGGGCACGATGGGTCATGTGCCCCAGCAATTTTTTTATTTTGATTTTATTTTTACTTTTTTTCTTAAAAGAAGTCACATAAAAGGACAAAAGAAGAAGAGAAAAATAGATAAAATGCTTAAGGACTAAAAAATTACACCTGGTGCATGAGCATAGGAATAGTGATGGCAAAAAAACCTGCACTTCCCTGCCCCGACGCCGTCCCGTCCCAAATGGGGCGAAAAGAACCCGCCTTGAAGGGCTGGCGGGGCGGGGAGGGGGGTGCCCCTCCCCGAACCCGCTCCGTGAAAAATAAAAAAAATAATT